AGCTGAGGGACAGCACCCAGGCCCAGAGTTCAAGTCCCATGACTGACCAAAAAAAAAAAAAAAAAACCTAGTAAAATAATGCACAAAAAGTCCATAATCTGTGCTGGGAATATGATAAGAATTCAATAAATGCTAGCTATTATTGTTTAGATAAACATGCAGTAGCAATTGTGGGATTATTTAGTCTATAGTTAATAGGCTACTTTTACTAAAATGCATTTAGCCATTAATTCTCATTTATTTTTGTGATGGTCCTGGGGCTTGAACTCAGGGCCTGGACACTGTCCCTGAGCTGCTTTTTTTTGCTCAAGGCTGGTGCTCTACCCCTTGACTTACAGCTCCATTTCCACCTTGGGGAAGGGGTAATTGGAGATAAATGTCTCTCAGATTTTTATTTTGAACTGGCTGGCTTCAAATAGCAATCCTCAGATCTCAGTCTCCTGAGTAGCTAGGATTACAGGTGTGAGCCACAGTGCCCAGCTTGGCCCTTACTTCTTCAATTCCATTATTTCCCCATTTCAACACAGATCGATTCTTATAAAGTTCCTCCTCGCTAATTCCTGTGATCATGGCAGTTTTCCCCTCTCAAATGTTTAGATGCCTCGAATGGCTTTTATTTTAGATTCAATTTAAAGACCAGTTAGCCTGTTGCTAAGAGAAAACACATCTAATTTGACAAAACCAAATTAACTCCTAATCCACAAGGGGCTTTGTCTAAGCCATAAACAGTTGATAAAAAATACAAGCACTTTCATTCTTCTTATTCCATGAGGACTTAAATTCAGTTATCCAATTTATACACACACAGCCAAACAAGTCATACACTATTAGCACCATCTGTATGTGTGTGTGTGTGTATGTGTGTGTGTGTGTGTGTGTGTGTGGTATGCGCACATATGTGTATGTCAGTACTGGACCTTGAACTCAGGACCTGGGCACTGTCCTTGAGGGTTTTGTTTTTTTGCCCAAGACTGACACTCTTCCACTTGAGTCACAACTCCACTTCTGGATTTTTTTCACGCCCCGCCCCCCTCCAGATGAGTCTCATGGACTTTCCTACCTAGGCTGGCTTTGAACCTCGATCCTCAGATCTCAGTGTCCTGAACAGCTAGGAGTATACATGCGAGTCTTATTAGGAATACTGGCTATATTTTGAACCAAACACTAATGTGGCGAGACACGTGAGAAGTCAATCTGTTCCATATGCTCCTCCGTGGCAGATCTTTCCTTTTCCACATATAACCTCTTGAGCCTTAAGGTGGAGTTAAAAAAACACAACACCAAACTATCTTGTCATTGAACATAGAGTAGGGGGTGGGGGGATGTTTCAAAGTCAATCAATGAATTGACACATTCACACTGCAGGGGCCCTGCCTGCTCCATTACCGGTTTTCTGTCAGAATTTGTCTTGTTGGTGCTTTCAGGTTGTAGACAGATAGGGTGGAAGTCTTTGTTGGGTGAGACTTGGTTATTTAAGGGGTTGGCGCCACGCCTGGGCATGGAGTCTTGCTATGTGGGCTTGGTCTGCCCTCGAGGATGCACCTATGCTTCCCACCCCAGGCTCCCCTGCCCAGCACATCCATGGTTGAGGTCGTTTTATTCTTCAGGCCGTGCTTCCTGTGCAGACAGCAGCTCCTCTTTGTCTGGAGGGCTCTGGTGCTAGCCCCTCAAAAGCAAAGTAATCTCAGCTCCATCCCCCACATTATCCCCCCAAAGCATCTCCCCACCTGTGAGCTGGGGAGGAAATTCCGCTGCGCCACGATCACAGAGTAACAGTTTGAACATCTGCTTCCACTCATTTCAGAGATGTTAGCGTCCAGCAGGTGTTGGTGGTTCATGCCTGTAATCCCAGCTATCCAGGAGGCTGAGAACTGGAGGGGCAAAGTTTGACGCCCAGCCTGGGAAAAATTCCATCTCCAGTTCTCTTGGCTCAAGTGGTAGAGCACCAGACATGAGCAAGGAAGCTAAGCAAATGAGAGGCCCTGAGGTTCAAGATCCAATAGGAAAGGAGGGAAGGGAGGGAGGGAAGGAGGGAGGGAGGGACGGAGGCGGAGAGAAGCCAGGTGCCATGGCTCTTGGCTATAATCCTAGCTACTCAGGAGGCTGAGATCTGAGGATGGAGGTTAGAAACCAGACCAGGCAGGAAAGTCCATGAAACTCTCATCTCCAATTAAGCACTAAAAAATACTGGAAGTGGAGCTGTGGCTCAAGTGGCAGAGTGTCAGCCTTGAATAAAAAAGCTCAGGGAACAGTGCCAAGGCCTTAACTTCAAGCCCCAGGACTGGCATTTAAAAAAGAAAAAGAAAGGAAAGGAAGAAAGGAGAGAGAGAGAGAGAGAGAGAGAGAGAGAGAGAGAGCTCCAACAAGCTAGGAGTTGATAGCTCACCCCTGCTATTCAGGAGGCTGAGATCTGAGGATCACAGTTCCAAGTCAGGCCGAAGCAGGAAAGTCTATGAGGCTCTTATCTCCAATTAACCATGAAAAAGCCGGAGTGGATCTGTCACTTAAGTGGTAGGACACCAGCCTTGAAGGAAAAGAGCCAAGACAGAACACAAGCCCTAAGTTCAACTCCTAGTATGTGTGTACACAAGTGCGCGTGCACACGCTGGTGATCATTCTCATCCCAACTGACGTTAGAGAACATCTGTGTGCAGAGCCCTCTCCACACTGGGCTTTCTAGTAGAATTCAAGGCCACGGCCCACGCATCTGGTTTCTGTAGCTCAGAGAATCTGCTCCTGACCCATGCTCCCAGTCCAGGGCACATGCAGTCCCATTTTCTGACCATGTCCTCAATAAGAGCATGTGCACGCGCACACACACACACAGAATAGAGGGCTGGGAAGGTGGCTCGGTGGTAGAGTGCTTGTCTAGCATGCATGAAGCCCTGGGTTCGGTTCCTCAGTGACACATACACAGAAAAACCAGGGGTAGCCTTGAGCAAAAGAAGCTCAGAGACAGTGCCCAGGCCTGAGTTCAAGCCCCAGGACTGACCACAAAAGGGATTGGGGCGGGGAGAAGGAATGGACGGAGGGAGAGAAGGTATTGATCTCCTTAGGTGGATCGCCCAGCTATCATCCTGCCTGGATTCCTGAACCAGTTCTAGAAACTGAGTCAGAGCTGAGCACAGAGCCCGCGTCTAGGCCGAAGAATGACTGGCCAGTGGAACAAAGCCCCATCTTCTTGAATGGCTGGATTTCCAGGACGGAGGAGCTGGGGTGGGGTGGGGGGGGCTACAGGGGGGAATCTCTCTCCCAAATAGTGCTGCTGTCCTGGCAAAGGACTCCTTACAACCCCCATCAGGACCTGGGGGGAGAAGAGGATTCTGGGCTTCTTAATGGGGCCCCGGAGGGAAGAGATATGATTTTTTGCTAATTCAAGGTCTGGGCTCCATTTTCCTTAGTGGGTTTTGTTGTTTTTTATTTCTTGCTCAAGGCTGGTGCTCTACCACTTGCGCCACACCCCCCGCTTCTGGCTTTTTTGGTGGCTCATTGAGGAGTCTCACTGGCTTTTCCGTCCTGGGTTGGCTTTGAACTGTAGCCCTCAGATCTCAGCCACCCTGAGTGGCTGGGATGGCAGGCGTGAGTCACTGGTGCTGGCTTAAGGGTGGAATTTTGAGCTGAATCCCAGGCCCCCTCCTCCTGGATCACCTGTTCTCTATTTCTGGGTCTATTAAATCAGCGTGCTTCCTTTCAGACCTGACTCCACAGCACACCCCCGCAGCACGTGCGCCCCCCCATGCAACACAGACACCCCATTTCAGGGGAGTGTGCCAGCTCCCTTTTCCTACACAGCTAAAGCTACAGCAGTCTTGTCCTTGTGAACCCAGTCCCTGCCCCAGGGGTTCAGGGGTCCATGGACAGTACTTACACGATCACGGACAGGTGTGACTGCACACATGGCTAGAGGGGTGTTCAGGGTCTGCAGATGCTAACCCCTCCCTCCCTGCCTGCCCAACCTCCCCTGCGGCTGCCTCCTGACCTCACCCCTAAGCAGCACCAGTGGCTCATGTCTGTAATCCCAGCAACTCAGGAGGTGGAGATCTGAGGATCTAGGTTCAAAGCCAGCCCTAGAGAGGAAAATCTGTGAGACTCTTACCTCCCACACACCACTAGAAGAAAACCAGAAGTGGCGCTGTGGCTCACAGTGGTAGAGCGCTGGCCTTGAGCAAAAAGAGCTCAGGGACAGCGCCCAGGCCCCGAGTTCAAGCCCCAGGACTGACAACAAACAAACAGAAACAAATCCCACAAAGGACCCTTCAGTGGGGGCCAGGCCCTTTCGTTTTCCTCCTTTGTCCCTTTGCGCCCCCCCCCCGCCCCCTCCACAAAGAACCCCCGGGGTCAGCAGGCCTAGATCAAAACCATGGTTTATTCACCGTCCACATACAGAAGCCTAGAAAAGAACGCGGTCTCCGCCAGCCGCGCTTGTGCTGCTCAGCCCGGAGGTCAGCCATCCACCCCCCCTCCGCTGGGAAGAAGAGAAAACCGACCCTAAGGACCCCCTGTCCCTCCCTCTCCCCCCTCCCTCCTGCTCCCCTCCCCCTCCCCCCCCACGACCACACAGCACACTGACAGGGACTCCTACGGACCAGAACCACGCGGGGCTAGGACTACGGCTGCTCACTGGAGCAAAGGGGCACTGCCTGGGGGGGGGGTCCCCGGGGACACTCCGCTTGCCTCCTGCACCCCTGAAACCAATATCATGTGGGCACTAGATCTCTTGGGCACTGCAATTCAGGGGCAGTAACAATCATCCAGGGCCGGGCAGGGCCTCCCGGGAAGGGGAAGGAGAAGAGGAAGGGGAAGAGGAGGAAGGGGTCCCTCTCCCCCTGTGACCACACCTACACCGCGTTCTAGAAGTGGGGAGGAGGGGTTAGCACCAGACCCAAAATGTCGCTGTCTTTTGAAAACAACGAAGATCAGAAAATCAGAGCTTGGAGCTGCCAAGCATCCAGAGCGCTGAGTTCGGTTCCTGAACAGAAGTGGGGGCGCAGGGGGAGGAATTAGGGGGCCAGTGGAATTCGCTTCCCCATCAGGAAGGGGTTGGGAATGGCTGGCATATGGACAGGTGAGTTGGGGGTCTCTGGGCTGGCACCCCTGGTGGCCAGGGGAATGAGTGTCGGATGGCCCAAGCCATCACACAAAGGGGGGGGGGCGGGGACTCTGTGCTTCCGGGGGCGAAGCGACTCAGCCCGGCCAGGGGACCAGGGCCACGGCTGGCCAGGGGACAGGTGACCCGGGGCCCAGTTCCCGCTGGGTGGCTCTATTAGGCCAAGATGAGACAGGTAGGCGCTAGAGCCCCCGCTGGGGCTCACACCGGCCATCCCAGCCGTCAGGAGACTGAGATCTGAGGATCACAGTGTAAGGCCAGCCCAGGCAGCACAGTCCAAGAGACTCTCATCTCCAATTAACCACTTAAAAAACAAAAAGCCAGATGTGGAGCTGTGGCTCAAGTGGTAGAGCGGCGCTAGCCTTGAGCACAAAAGCTCAGGCCCTGAGTTCAAGCCCCAGGACCAGCAG